CACCGCCCTGCGCACCGCCCGGCCCGGCTCCCTCCTCATCCTCAGTGCATTCGTCATCACCCTCTCCCCCTCCTCATCCTCCCTGCCGCCTCCCTCCGTGCCTCCTCCTCCCCCCCCGCGGTGCTCCGGCCCCCCGGGGACCTGCCGGGATGCGGAGGAGGGAAGGGGGGGGCACCGCGGCTCCTTCATGGCCCGTTTTCTTTTTATTTGGGGTTTTTATGGCGCAGGAGCTGACACCGCTCGCAGCACGCGGCCGGGAAGGGGGGGTATGTGTGTGTCCCCCCCATCCGCCGGCAATTCCTTGGCTGGAAAAAAATTGCTAAGAGTAACAAAAAGGACAAGGGAGACCTACAGTCAGCAAAGATAATGAACGGGATTCAAAATCAGTGTCAGTAAGAGCAAAAATTCTGCAAACCGAACTGCTAAAAATAATAGAGGAAGGCTGGAAGTTTTTCTTCAGGTATTTGTGGAAAAGCTGGGCCGTGCCCTGGGCAAGGGCGCATTTCCACACCCGGGGATCTCCGAGTCACCAGGTCAAAGTAAAGAGCGCGGGGGATACTTAAAATTGGTGGGTTTGAGTGTTTCTCGAGCGCTAACAGCCGGTTTTAATCGCTCTGAAAATGCTAAGTTTCCAAAGGGATTTTTGAAAATGGGAAAAAAAAAAAAAAAAAAAAAAAAAAAAAAAAGAAGAAAAAAAGAGGAAAAGAGAAAAAGAGAAAAGGAAAAAAGAGAAAAATAAATAAAATAAAATTAAAAAAAAAAAAAAGCAGCTCAGCTGGTTCTGAGCCGGAGCAGTGGGGCCAGGAGCAGGTCACAGGGATCCTGTGGCACCAGCCTGGCTCTGGACCTCACCAGCCACGTGTGGGCAGTTGCCTTTGTCTGGGAACGTGTGTTGGAAAAGGCTGCACACGGAGGGAGCTCGGAATAATAATCTATAAACGTTTGATTTCAAAAATGAACCTTGCAGAAATACTGAGCAAGCACCTCCACGGTAGAAGCAGGATCTAGGTTTTGGGGTGGTTTTCCTTGCCTGGGTCCCTGAGCTCCCAGCTAGGCGGGACACTGGGATTTAGCAGCTCCCTCTTCATGAGCAGCCACAGAAAAAGCTTTTAAAAACTCAGCGAATGAGGCCGAGTGGAAAACCGCCCGTGGCTCTGCAGGGGAAAGGCGCCGGCGCCCGGGCGCTCGCCCAGTGCTACCATCTGCCCCATGTTTTCCAGGCCTGGCTATAAACCCTATTCCAGGTTTTACCCAAAGAGATGGGTTTTACCACGAGGGGAGGCAGGGCATGGCCATCATGCCGGTTACTGCCAGGCCATTTGCAATACACTAATGATTCCGGCTCTTCCTCCCATTTCTGTTCCCTAATAACATTGACGGAGTTCTGTCCTAGCTGACGCGAACCCAGCAGTGTTCTCCCACTGGGTGTTTTCCTTCAGCGATCCCTGCGCCTGCCGCGTTGCCCCGATAACCCTCCCACATCCCTGCCGAGAAGCTGTTTCCGTGTTTTCTCCTTTCCGTGTGTCCTGGTGACTCTGGGAAGGGCCCGACCCTCACCCCGGGCCCTTCGCTCCCCGCCCGCTCCTCTCCAAGAGGGAGCACAACAGATAGAATTTTCTACCCATTATCACTCCACCTCCTTCATCATCACCTCCCTAGATTCCCCCTGCCACTGCCTTGCTGTTTCAGATTATTTTTTATTGCGAAATGAATTTGCTTTTACCAAAATAAGTCTTATTTCGCTATTTTCTATACACATTTAATCTCCCGGGTCCCTACCTTACTTTTTTCTTCCTGCGGCGTACAATCCTTGTTCATTTTCCCCCCTAGTTAACACAACTTAGCTGTGGCTAAGCAGCGTGATGCTACCAAAATCCTCTGGGCTGGCTGGTCTCTCCAGCTTCCCCTCTCCTGCCCTCCGGTATTTCTTTTTTCTTCCACTCCCTTCTATCCCAGGCTGGCCTCTCTCGCCTCTTCTTTCCCATCTGTAGGCTAGAAGTAGGCAAAGATTTTATGTTATTCATCACAATGTTATGCTCACAGAACTACAACAGTCTAAGGGGAGCTATTTCTTCCTAATGACTGAAATTAAAATCAAAATTATTATTGCTTTTGGGGAGACAAGCAGATTGACAATGTACTTGTTCTGTCATCCATGGTGAGGTAAGGAAATAACGTGAGTGGAAAGGAAAATGATAGACATTAAAAAAAATGCCCTCTGTCATATGAATGATCTTGGTGACAAGAACACTCTGCTGGCAGGGAAGACCTAGGAAGTTATTTTCTCCACAACGGGTGGAAGTCCCAGCTCATTTCCTTACGTGGTGGCTGCGGGACAAAGTGAAAACACCCAGGAGCTAAATGTGTCTTAAAATTTAATTCCTTCTGCTGGCCGTGATGCCATTCGCTTCATGCCCGCTTCCCGATTCAGCCCACATCTCAGTGGCCACAGAGCAAGGAAGGAAAAGCCCCGAACACTCTTTTTCCCACCCAAACCACAAGCCGATTGATTTTCTTTCCTCGGCAATTAGGTGAGCCATTGACACAAACAGCTCTGGCACTGGGGTGGGAGGACACAACCATGCCTGGCAGCGGA